TGTGTTTAGATGTCATACGCACTCCTAGCCGCATAACATAGCGAATTTTCGAAGGATCACACAAATACCGCCCTCCTGATTGGAGCAATACCAATAATTGATAAGCTGGATAACACGAAGAATTTGCAATAGGCCACTGCTTTTGAACGATTATAATAATTCTATTTCGCCATCCGCAGTCACGGTAAAAAACACACTTCTACTGCATGACAGATAATTATAATGATAATTATAACCAAGTTAGAACAACCGAACGTGAAAACACAACAGTAATATTAAGCATCACAACCCTAACACCTGCACCTTTATTAAAAGGGACGTGCCGCGCGATATCTGGTTGGGGAGGGGGAGTAAACTCGAAAATTTCGGCCCCCTCCTTTCCGCGGCCCCACTCAAAAAAATTTCCGACGTTTTATTTTACGTTGCAAGAAAATTTTTCCAAGGATTATTTCACGATAATGGGGGGTTAGAAATACTTTCTAGACCTTTTTCGGCCTTAATTTCTCAGAATATTCTTTAACATTTAACATGTTCCTCAATTACAGCATTCTAGTGGCTTCTAGAAAGTTGGGCACCCTTTCTTGACTTTTATTTGGGGGTGTAACACTACTATTCATCCAAGACCATTAGTATTTCTATCGACAATCCTGCACCTTTTGCAATGCTTACTATAATGCTGCCATATAACTAACAAAATAGCTGAGTTATGTGGCATCGTTCATGTTAATAACCATTCCTTGGTTTCAATAACTGAATCATGGCTAAATTCAAATATACCATACACCGCTGTTGCAATTGGTAATAATTTTAACGGCGTACATCGTCACGATCGACCCACACCTGGCAGTAGTGTCTTAGTCTATGTCAATAGAAAATACTATGTATGTATCTGGCTTTTAAATCAAAATGGAAAAGAGGTTTTATGGCTGCTACGACTTAAGCCACGAGCATTTCAAGACATTTGGCCTCCACCGCAATAATTGGAGAACATTACCCGCCAGGACTATCTGCTGTAGATGCTTTAGAAGGAAATGTGTGAATAACTTACAACAGGGCTTGATTCAGTTCAGCGTGATCCAAGATCAACTGTAGGATACTTGCCGGCGACTTTAATGAAATGAAATTGAACACACTGTCCAGACGCTTTGTCCTAAAAAGGTTGTCTCGGCCCTCGCAAGACGTCGGAACGTTTTTGGACCAAATTTTAACCGGTATGTCAGAGCTTTACAACGATGTATGTACGACATCTCCCACGAATCGGTCGCTCCGATCATCAATGCCCATTAATTGTTCGTAAAGCAAATGAGAAGACCAAACCAATCTCAAAGAAAATACGGCAAATGAAATACATTAACTTAATTGGGCTAGGTCTGCAATGATAAGACTTCAAATTACCGTCACATGTGTAGTGTGTTCAAATATTCCCAAAATCTATGCGGGCTTGGCAATAAGGGTTCATTTGCATTCATTTGAAAGTCAGATTCAGTTTGTTTGTCCGAAGTTTGTGCTATAAATAACAACCTTAATCTGCGCTATTAAATAAGGAGAACTGGAGGCCGGTCTATAATGAAAATGTCGTTGGCGATAAAGTGAGCAAGTTAACTACCACCATCGTACACATGTTAGATAAAATGGCTACTTAAGCATGCTGTACTTTTCTACCCCTCGGATAAACCGTGGACCACACCTATTATTAAACAGGAAATTAAAGCTCGACCAAAGGCTTTCGTAAAAGGTAGTATAGCGAAGTATTTAGCAACATTGCGTTAAAGTCACCACGCTTATATCAAATGCTGCAACAACCTATATACTACCTGAGTAAGGTAGATGTTTCTCAAATCGAACCCAGCGAAATGGTACAAATTGATATACGAACTAGTTGCTACTAATGACGGCAACAAATCCCTCCAACCGTCTCCAGACGATGCATGCAACACTACTAGCTGAACGTATCCGATGAACTTTTTCTTGGAATGAGGTTGTTCCAACTAGAGTTCGAGATGTCGGCAAAATTGGGCATCTATTAAGGGAAGACAGTCCATTGTTAAAAACCAGAAATGCCAAAGGTTCAAATGAGACCTCTCCGCCCTCAGTGAAAATAGTAATGTGAAGAACATGCATCAGTTGTCCATGGTATCATCTGTGCATGCATTACGCAATCTAAACATAGTGAAAACACACTTTAAGCTGACCAAATATGAAAACGCTTTAATCTGTCCTGTTCCAAAAGTGAATGAAATGTAGAAAACGATTTCCGACAAATTTCAATTCTCCCACAGATAACAAAAGTCCGGGTAAAATTTCCAACTTTTTCTCATTCAACGGCGCGAGCCTAAGAATTAAAGGTAACCAACACGCTTTCACCAAAATCGATCTACAGTGTCTGCTTTGGTGGGCATTGCACAAAACTGATTCAATGTAACAGCTAATTCACGCGAAGCTATTTCTCGACTTCCGTAAAGCGTTTGGTGTGGTTGATCAAAAGTACACTAACATGAATGTATCAAAATACTTCTGCAATTGTCAGTAAGCTTTTTGAAATAAACTTATCGGTGCTAATTTAAACAAAATCCATGCCTTTCTTTAGTACCTCAAGAATCTGTAATTTCGCCCAGTTTGTATAGTGTTCACTTTAACGATCTTAAAAGTATAATTTCGATTCAGTTATTTATTAATACCTGCTGATGACTGGATACCCCGGATGACGCGATGCCCCGTGATTCGTGATCACATGCACGAAGTTCCTAACTCGTTGAATATGTGGTCAGATAGAAAGATGATGAGCCAAAATAAGAAAAGGTCTAAGCTATGTAAATCTGGTATAGAGATATGGTGAAACCGTGATTGAAAGAATAGACAGTTTTCAGTTCCTAGGTGTTTGGGTGCGGAATGATTTAACGGGAACACTCACGTCGACGAGATTACGAACAAATTTAATACACATCTTTCTTTGATCTTCGGGAATCTCGTAAAGCAATCTACCAACGGTTGCTAGCGTCACAGCAGATAAAACTATAATCAGACCCCTTTTGCAATATTCGTCTGCGGAATTGGGAGAACTGCCGCGATAAAATCTGAAGCTTGAGAGTCTTAGGTCTTCCGAAAAGAAACGGTGCCACCTCCTTTGCGGCGACAAGAAAGTTGTATTATTATAGAATACGAGAGAATCCTTAAATATGTAACAAGTCCATGTAATAAATTCGTTTCTCTTGTACAAACCAATCAATATGATTTTAGAACTGGTAGCATTGGACTATAGAGGTTGGATCCGAATTTTCGTGGTCTAGGGGTCTTTCGATCCCTATCATCTCAACATCCTGTCCTAACACAATCGCGACTATGCTTAGTCACGCCAGCTGATCTATGACGATCATAGTGCGGTTTTCACTTAATGACCAGACTGGTTAGACCGGAATTTCTGTCTCGGTATTAATGGAAAGATCTATCCTACGTTTCTCGAAACCCTATGGCGAAAATGGGCCTACTTTTAATTTGATCAAAATTTTCCAGTCAGAAACGTCCGAAGCCCAAATGTTTTGTGCTCCATTCAACAATTTGACCGTTCTGACCGTGTTAATGTAAAGCGCCCATATATTACAGCTATTTCCGTCACGATATGATTAAAACTAACTATTAGATTAACCAGTAAACACACACAATAAACTATTAGTAAGGTATAGGCCTACAGTAGGCGAAGCTAAACTGCTATCTGAACTAGCTACCTCGAAAGCTGGCTTTGGTTTAGTATCGGTTTCAGTATATTATAACATGCGCCATCTCAATTACAGAAATTTCACATAACGATTTCATATAAGAAAATTTCATATAGCTATGTAATCGTTATGTGGAATTGAAACAACTTCATAGATAAAATTATTTCATATATGAACTTTCATATATATGGAACGATTTCATACATAAAATTATAAGTCATATATGAACTTACAGTATTTCATATATGAAACTTTCTTTGATTTCATATATGAAATTTTCATGTATGAAATCGTTATGTGAAATTTTTATATATGAAATGTTCCATACACTGTAAATACCAGATTTTTACCAATGAAATATTCATATATGAAATTTCTGATGTTTGAAATTCTGCCTATGAAAATTATTTCAATTCAAATTTTGTTATGAAAAATATGTAAACTAATATACCAATTGGGAAATTGAAAATTTAATACATCTATATAAAAAAGGGGTTATATGGTATACAAGTGCTAAATATAATTAGTTATACATCTATTTACAATACTATTTCCAAAAACTGGTCGAAATATATATAGCTATATAGTACACTTACTATTTAAAGCGTGAGTGACGAATTTCAAAAAGGTTCATTAAAAGTTGCTAGTAAAGCCTATATCCATAATTTTTAACTATTTAATATTTAAAAACACTTAGCAAGTTCATCTTTTACAAGCCATCCGTTCATCCTTTACTTTCTGGCTTATCGCATTTCTTATTGCCGGTTTTCAGCTCCAGGAAACATATGGCTCACATACGCTAATGAGAAAGAAAATAATATCAATTGGCATAAGTGCGCATTACTTTGTTGCTTTACCCTGTTTAACACAAGACAATCTCACTCGTCAAAGGGGAGAGTCATGATGCCAGTTACCACTAATTAATTATTATGTCAAACATCAGTTTTATCATCAACATACCTATTATCACCTGAACTTTAGTTTGATCAAGTTGTTCACCATTATTTTTCTTCCCAGCTAAAGATGATTTTTGCAATGTTTCTCGATCAAACATAGCAGTCAATACGGTCGTTGTTAATTTTGAATAATTTTTCGCTCTATCTACCTCAGTTTAAGGCAGTTGGCGTGAGCATTGACTAGTAAAAGAAATAAAGTAATTGCATTATAAAATGTACACATCTCTAAATATGTATAGGTAATCGCATGCATGGGGCCGACAAAATTAATTAAGGTTTAATTTCACGTAAACTTTGAAAACACATGTGAAATGAAATCTTAATTTTACAAGGAACTATGCGATTACTTGTTAATCACAGAGGGCAATTATTCGTAAGTTAATTGTGAACTTGTCAAGTACTTGAACCTCGTATGTCTCCATGTCTTCGCCGATGTTCCTTAATTAATATGCTGCCCATTTCTTAGATGCTCCAACCAATAAATCTGTACTTTTTCAAGTGTTTAAATTTTCGCAAGAAGTTTTTAATTCTTCAAGAACATCATTATCCGCGACGACAAAGCGAGAAGCCATTGTTTTTATTGCTATTAAAGCAATTAAAACAAGAAACTTCCCGCGCTTGCATCTCAGGCAATCAGGTACAAATAATTTTGCCCTGAATGAACAAAAAATGCCGTCCTTATTAGCCAATCATATTTGAGTAATTTTGCCCTTTATGTAATGAATTGTGAAATATGTTCTTGACAGACAAGATTTTCTCATCAAGTTGTATGCGTTCATGAACTATAAAACCAATGCACACATAAATACTTTCCATACCAGTAATGTTTGTTTGAAAGATTAACCCATTAAACTGCAGAGCTTCCGCACTGACGAGTAAATCGTCTGGCGTTAGACAAGTAAAAAAAATAATTACGGCACAGTTTCGGAGCATTGCAGCTCAATGGGTTAACTGGGAACATTGCCAGATTTTTTGGTTAACCCATTAAGCTGCAGAGCTTCCCCCAAATTCGTTCCCAAGGCTTTCGTGTGAGGACGAGAGCAGAGACGAGAAAGCCCTGGTATGAACCGGTCGGGTGACCACCCAAAATATCGATATATTTGACAGCTACTTGTCAAGGAGTGGCGAGATATTCCTAACTGAAACATACAAGTCTTCGAAACAAACAAACAGGCAAAACACTTCTCAATCGATATTACTTATGTGCAGCGAAGTTTGGCACGAATCAACTGAAATCTCTGAAGACATCGATCTAATCGATCTTTTTTTCCGGCGTTTTTCAACCACAGTGACAGGCAAAGCCAAAGGCACAACTGTATCTCGACTGACATGATTTCCTAGCTGCGTACAGGCGTCTCCAAGTAAACATTCACACAAGATTTGCTTTCTCTCGTCTTGAACTATACAGCTATTGCCTTTAATATTTAGTTTGAATATGCTCTCAGACTTAGTTCGATCAAAATAAACACAAATATAAAACCTCGCGTAACGTTGCTGACGCTGTACAGGAAAGTCACGAAATATTTACGGATTCGACACCAACACTTGCCGTTCAGGGGGAATGCTTGGCAACTATAATTTTATCCCCTTCACAATCTTTGATTTATTTTATCGTATAATCTCAGTAATACCTGCGCGTAGAGCTAAGCAAACAGGGTCTAAATTAGTAGTTTCGTTTAATTGTTTGTCTTGTTTTTATTTGTCAGTATAGAATATTGTAAATTATAGTATTACTACAACGCAATAAGCGTAGTATTTCATCATACATCTGCACTACATTAGTACATTATAAATGCTGTACAAGGAAAACTACAGCTTAATAGTAGATGTTTCTTGTTTCGTAAGGAAACATCACAGTTCACGGATTTTGAGTTTTGTACCCGGCCGAGGCGAAAGTAAATCATGCAGTCGGGAAAACTGAAACCTCCTTACTTTGAAAGATTATTTTGCAAAATATACTCGTACACAACAATCATAAAAATATTTAGGGTTAAATTGTTATGTCCAAATTGAATTGATATGTTGAATTGTTATTGTCAACTGTCAAGTTCTGCTATTTTTAGACAACATGGCGTTGGCCAATTAGAACGCAAGATTGGCTGGCTCGGCCCAGGACTTTCTCGTCGCTTTCCTCGTCCTCACATGCAAGCCCTGGGAACGAGGTTGGAGCTTCCCAACTGACGAGTAAAATCGTCTGGCGTTAAACAAGTAAAAAAAATAAGTAGGGCGCACTTGGGCGCATTGCAGCTCAATGGGTTAAACATTCTCAAGTGCCAGATTGACAAATTATCCAATTCACCTTAATCTGTAGCTTTGATACATAGGTCACAATTACATCAAATTAGAAAAAGACCTGAATCAAACATACAGTAACTGACCTAGAAATAGTTCTAAGTGGTTGATTTAAAACCTATTTAATTTGACAGTTTTGGTTAATTAAGGAACCTGGAATGTACTTCAGAACTATAAGCACATGATTTTTGAGTTTAGAAAATAAGTACTTACTAGCAGTTCTTTTTTTATTTCCTCTAGTTGGGCATCAGGTGTGCTTCTATTCTGTGTGGACTGTGTGTTGTTTTCTGGTTTTCCATCAGCTGGTGTGGTAATATTATCAAATGGGGTTTTAGGTTTTGGAATTGTGGTCAGGTTTGGAGTTGTGGTCGAGATTCCAGTTGTGGTCGGGCTTGGAGTTGTGGTCGGATTTGGAGTTGCAGTTCGGTTTAGAGTTGTGGTTGGGTCTGTTGGGGTTGAAGGCTTGAGGCGACACTTTGGGTTTTGAGCATGAACACCAGTTTGATGAGCATTAATTAATTCCCTCTTTATACCGGCAGAAGGTAAACCCTGAGGGGGTCTTGTAGAGAGCACATGTACAGAGGTTTGTTTCAAAGAACCAAATGCACTTGGTGAATCAGAATAATTGAACCAGCTAGGCGCCATATTCTTTGACAGTTTGTGCAGCCTTTTAACTACACGTTTGTCCATCAATGCTTCGATCAGCATCACTGCTAGATCTAGGAAGAGATTCTAACCAATCAGTCTTTCAAAATATGTCATTATTGTCAAAGAATGCTTAGGTAGCACACTGCCAGCAAAGTTGTCGTCTAAAAACTTTCTAAAATGGTCTAAAATACATATAAACTGAGATGTTATATGTGTTGAAACATATGCAAGGTAAGTATATCTTGCAGCACTGTTAAGAGATTGCACATATAGTGAATCAGCATTCATGACCAGAGATAGATAACATTTTTGTTTGAGTCTCATATCGATCGTATCCCACAGAAATACCATCACTCCGCATTTCATTCCTAATACAGTGGTGTAACTTTACTTTTTTGACCACTTGCCCTCAAGGCATGTTGGACACAAAAATTAGTTGCCCTGAACAAAATTCACTTGCCATCAGGCAATGGCCACTGGGATACCTTGGTAGGAGGTATAAATTAAGGAAACAATAAGTCCATCCGCTCTCCCACTGCTCTATATGGCTAAGTTATACTGCCACATATCTAGTTTTGACCAACAAAAAACAAAATTTGAATCAAGTAAATGCGCTATGAAAAGTTTATCTGACAATGAAAACATAAACTTGCAGATTCCCAGCATTTTGTGACAAGGCAATCGGACAAGCAGGATAAAACGTTTACTTGCTGGTTATGATATTCTCTTGCCCCGGGCAAGTGTTAATTAGTAACACCTCAGCTTTGCGACCCCCCCCCAAAAAAAAAGCCTACTCTTTCCAATTCCATCCTCATTTCTCACAAAATCTTCTTTATCATGGGCAAGGTAGCCTGTGAACAGACGTTACTCTCAATGAAGCGCGCGAGAGAACGTCTGTGAGTTGCACGAAGATTCTTGTTCTGGTCACTTGGATTTTCCACAGATTTGTGGAAAGGCCTCTGATTGGACAGTGCTTTACTTGAATAATATATAACAAATGAAGGTATTTCATTGGTTAATTGATAATTAGCATACGTTCAAACCATTGAACCGTAATGCGCCCCAGTGCGCCCTACTTATTTATTTTACTTGTCCAACGCCAGACGATTTTACTCGTCAATGGGGAAGCTATGCAGCTTAATGGGTTAAATTAACAACACAAAAATCTTAAATTCAAAGATTTCCCTCTGGAAATTTCCTCAAGAATTGAAGTTCCCTTCGGGCACATATCGGGGCATACAAATCCAGAGGTTTGAAAGACTTAAAATATAATCTGCTGCGTTATTTTAAACGCATGCGAATTATCAATTAACCAATGAAATACCTTCATTTGTCATATATTATTCAAATAAAGCACTGTCCAATCAGAGGAAAATCCACGTGACCAGAACAAGGAATCTTCATCCAACTCACAGACGTTCTCTCGCGTATGGAACGCCATGTGTCGAACAATTATTTAACCTTAATTATGTCATATCATGACCAAACTGTCATTATATATAAATAATTGATAAACGAACAGGCGTTATATCAAATCATGACTTATTCGTTTTTGTACTGATCAAATGATCATGAATTTCCGAAAAGTAATATGATAGCATGTCATTTCGACAAATTCATTATATGATATCATAAGCATTTGTGTAAGTCATGATTTGAAATAATGCTAACGCGTTACACAATGATATCCAATACTGACTTTCCAGTTGATTCATGATATGGTATACAGCTAATTTAAAAAAGGTTGTCCGTCGAAAACTCAGTATTACAGTATAGGAGACTAGGAGTGAATGTCAAGGCCCTGTTTATACGTCGCTCTTGTGTCGGGTCAAATTCAATTTTTGCCAGAAAAGATATACAAAAAATCCATCCAAAGATCGTCGTACATACATTGTAATATTACGAGCTTGTCACAGATATAAGCCACGTTTACACTTTGAGTCTATTACCATACGGCAAATATACCATAGCGTAGTGATAGGCGTAGCGTAGGGCCGAACATACCACTCCGTTATAGTGTAAACACAATATTGAGAAACGCAGTGAATTTTTAACGAAATTGATTTGTATTCAGAGTGGAAAATGTAGTGGTCCGCGTTGTTAGTACTCTACGACAAACCACTCCGTTATAGTGTAAACACAATACAGTCTCACACTAGAAACGTAGTAAATTTTTAACGGAGTTGTTATCCGTAGCGCCATAGTGTAAACGCGGCCTTAATTAACAATATATTTGTACATCGATTGTCGGGAGAAATACATTTGACTCTACACAGAGCGACGTATAAACAGGGCCGTGTTGTCAAAATGCGGCGTGCGGATAGCCATGGATAACTAAAAGACATTTAACTCTCTTAACTATCCATGGTACAGTCAGGATTTACGATGGATAGCAATTTGGTTGACCGAAACTGAATTATACTTTCAAATCGATGAAGTGAGTATCTTTTTACCGATGTCAATTAAAAAAAATGATTTCCCGATATTTGCGAAATTCGAATGTTAGACACGACTGTTATCCGCAGACTGTTATCGGTGGACTTATGGCCTCATTAATATCATTATCGATACGTAAGCATAAGCAAAATCGCTGAATCCTACTGGTTGCTGCTTTTGAATTTGCATGGTTAGACAAAATACTTTGTTGTTATTGAGTGTGACTGAACGGGATCTTGAATAAATTGAATGTCGCTACATGCATGTTTAACGCAGGTCTTTCAAACTTGAAACTTATAGCTCGATGGATCGTAGCGAATAGTTATACTCATATACGCAATTATTTCCCGTGGAAAGATTCAAAGAGAAGACGGGTTCCCCACGCGCTCTTCTCAGACATAGAAAGATATGTGACTGAATGACTTCATGCATGTATACAGTTTATTAGTTGATGTTTTGCAGACTTCGATCAGTCATGACGGCGCAAGCCAGAAGAGAATTCATACATCTCGTAAATCCGCAATAATCTTTATATGAATAGGGCAATGCTAAGGGCAATGTACAATGAATTAGTGGAAATATTTAAACTATCAAAATCGTTTGCATTTAATAATTGCTTTACCCGCTATAATTATACTGCCATTGGATTGCATATAGGTAGCAATACTAACAACATACAATGTCATTGCATACATATATCTAAAGTCCAAAGACAAAGTCACAATAATGGTATACCGATTTGTAGTTGTAGACTAGCTGGCAATAATACAATTTGCCTTGAACTATCTGTCAATAGGAGATTTCTGCACTTAATCAACTCTAAAAAGAAACGCAGTTGTGTTTCGGTTATTTTCTCTATGGTTGCAAATACACGCGATTTACCGTTACGTACATACATGTAGTCGCTCATACGACTATGACAAGCCCCCCCGATGTAATGTAGGTATAATTCTTGAATACATGCATGTAAAGTTGTGTTTCCCCATGCTGTAGAACACTTAGTGAAACCCACCTATAGTAACAGATTGTGCATCAGTTGGATGCAAAAACAGCAAAAATGCTGGCAAACACAATCTGAGAAAAACACTATACTGTTTCAAGTTATCATATATTTACTATACAGTACACTCCAGCTAGATACTTGTATACTCGCTTTCTGTGCACCTATACAGTATAATACCGGCCCGGCAATGGAATTTGCAGAGGCAAGCAATAATTTGATTTTCATCCATATCATAACAAACAATCCCCATACATAAGTTGCTTTATAAGTGGGTTTAGGTGTCATTAGCATATATTCACTAACATAACCAATCAGATCTTGGATTTTGACGAACGAACATTGCATAAATGAATATAGGTCCGTTTTCGTCCTTAGATGCAGGACTCCTAATTTATTATACACTAGAATGACGCGAGATCAATTTTACCAGCAAAATATTCGTTTGGTATGATATTGAAATTAGTTCTAACTAATTGCCATGTGATTTCAAAGGGTTCACCTCTTTGGGCTTGCATTTGCATTTTACCTATACATTCAAATTTCATACCAAACTAGGAATTCGCTGACATTGGGAATTCGTCGCATTCACTTTGCATTCTGCAGTATTTCAGATAGGGTTTTCTCTGGGGGCTGTAGCAAAACCACCAAGATAACGAGCCGAAATTTCAGTCGCATATATCGAGAAATCGTTTTCGTTAACATTTGTAGTAAGATGCTCAATTCGTCGATTTGAAAGCCCAAGATTTCGGTCAACCAAATTGCTCCCCGTCGTAAGTCTTGGCTATACGCACGCGACATTTTTACAATTACCTTCACTCCTGTGGTCATGCAATAGCTAATTAATGTGAACGCCAACGTTCACAGTCAGTGGTATAGTGTCAATTCAGTTGATCAATTGCAACCGTCGATTCCCATGATGCATTGCGCGCTCATAGTTTAACGTTCACGGTTTTGAGTTTTCGACGGACAACCTTTTTTGAATTAGCTGTAATGTAAAAGAACTTTTTCATTATATCATATAGTGAAACAGCGCCGAAAATTCATTATTTGATATAATGCAATAACGTACACTGTAGTGCGCCATCTGTCCAAAAATTAAAACTGTCCATTATAAGGCTAATTGTAGCCTTATGATAATTCAAACTTCCGGTGTCAAGCAAAATTCTTGACCTCCGCGAAATACCTGACCAAACGTGACGGGTCAGAATATATGACGCTTGCTAAATTTTAAGTCCGCCAAAACCGTTTTTTAATTGAAGATTAGATAAAATAATCATGATCGATGTTAATTTCTAATACTTCGTTAAATATTTCAAATCGACATCACATAAATTTCAAAGCCAATTGTGTGGTCGTGACCACGAAATACACGACGTTTCCTAAATACGGTCGGGCGAAATGATTTTTAAGTCCATATGCGATGTTATCAAGTGTTTCTAATACAGTATACACATAGCCAAATCTAAATCGAACTCATTGCTGCTGCTTACTAAATATTGAGAAGGTCAAACGCGAAACAATTTTTGGTGCTAAAAGTAATTCATATAGCATCACCTTTGAAACTGGAGTCTATTTTATATCACTAACAGCGCTTTTCGACTGACTTTTTCCATTCGCAGATTTTAGATTCAAGCTCTATTATCGCTGAACGCCAACGTTCACAGTCAGTGGTATAGTGTCAATTCAGTTGATCAATTGCAGAATTGATGTTTGAAAGTTTATGTATACATATTATCCAACAAAATGACTTTATAAATACACGTGTTGTCTGTTGAGTTGCGAAATTTATGAACCAAAGTAATTCATGCGCATCGTCTGCGCATGGGCAGTTCTACTACAATAGTCAGATATTTCGCAAGTCAGGAATTTCGCGTCACACCTGTAACCCAAAACGTCCGATTCATGGGCCGAAGGTGCCAAACATATTTAAATGGCTATCTTTAAAACAGGGAATGGGGAATCCGGGAATTGGGGAATCCGGGATTCGGGGAATCCGGGAATCCAGAACTGAGAAGACGGGGATATTAGTGTGCTTGTTGGAAAACACATTTGATACTTTGTTTAGAATAATACAGACGATGAACATACATTATACACTGCGGATCAGTTGACTTACTATATAGCTGATGTTATATTATATATGTATAACAGCGCTGTGCACATATGTGATTTTAATAACATATAATTTTATTAATTTCAATTAGACATTAGTGTCTATAGAATTTTGTTCCAACGCGCAAATTTTTTGGATTAACAGACTGCAAAATGCATGCATCACACAGGAAACGGGATAACACTAATAGCCCACGCTTTATATGTTAAATATTAAAGCGAACGGGGCGCAATTCGACGGCGACGAGGTACGGTTTTCATTCACGGATACTTTAAGACATTGCTGTGCAGTCTAAAAACTCCAACATCCGCTTAAACCAAATCTGCGCGATTTTTAGTTGTTAAAAAATAATCAAAAATATGTTAATTTTAAACTACTGTAAGTAATTTGGGATTGCAAAGTATCCGTGAATGAAAACTAAAAACATATCGAGTCGCCGCCGCCGAATTGCGCCCCTTTGACTAAAATTAATATTTACCATATAAAGCGTGTCTTTAGTTTAATGTTATCCCGTTTCGTGTAAGATGCATGCATTTTACAGTCTATTAATTCAAAAAACTTGCGCGTTGGAACAAAATTCTATAGACGCTAATGTCTAATTGAAATTAATAAAATTATATAGAGAATAATATATGGGTACGCGGAAATACCAGATTTATTTCGAGTGTTAAACATGATATCTCACAAGTGAGCGCAGCGAACGAGTGGTATTTCCAGGCACCCATGTATTTTCTGTTTATTATATAAAGGACAGTCTTTGAAAAGCGATAATTTTTACAGAAGAGCGAAAATTGAAAAGCGATAATTTTCACATGTGAGATTATCATAAATAACCTCACGTGTAAGATTATCACTTTTATCACATCTCGAAATCTCTATAAACCACTATACTTTATATAATAAATGTTATTACAATCACATATGTGCACAGCGCTGTTATAATCTATAATATACCATAAGCATAAGTTATTTATGACAACTGATTCGCATTGTATACAGTAGCGAATGCGTTTTCCAACAAGCACACCAATATCCCCGTCTTATCAGTTCTGGATTCCCCGATTACGAACAAATCTCTTTGATTACGATTAAGCAATGACTAGAGCCGTGCAAGGAGCAGTTAGGTCCGTACTGACAGACAAAGAAGCGTCCACACCAAACCAATTCTCGCCGCCGGCATCAAACGCGACTAAAGGCGTAATTCCAGTCCTCGCACGAAGCTACTCGCAGCTCGCTTGCATCTAATTAAAATTAACTCCTAAGCATTGTGATTGGATGAAAGTGCTCATGCATGCACTCGCAGCCGAGTTGCGAGGAGCTTCGTGCGAGGATTGGAATTGCGCCCTAACACAAGTTGAAGTTCAAAACGTTATAAACCAGGTGTGTATGACCTACATAGTGTTTCATATAAGTACTGAGGCATTAAGCTTCACCTTTATGAATATTTATCAATATCTTACTTAAAGGCCGCAGACAATACTCTTACATAAAGGCCGCAGAAAATTGTACTCAGCTATAAACAACCGTTGTGGCAACCGTAATATAAACATAGAACAACCAGAGCAAACAGCACTGCCCTCAATATTTGGTGGAGCAAGCCGTTCGCAGAGTTTGCCGCCTGCCAAAAGGTCAAAACGCGGTGAGTGGCTATTATATTATTATTATTAGTTTCATTATGGTTGCCACCACCATTATTTATAGGAATAGCCCAGCTGCTCTTCTGAGTATAATTCTCTATGGCTTTCATGTAAAATAAGATATTGATAAATATTCATCAAGTTGAAACTTAATGCCTCAGTACTTATATCAATCTCGTTCCCCGAGCATGGTCGTTCGCAGGTTAAGGGTGGGCATAGCTCTGGAGAAATCGAATTGATTCACGTTGAATTTCCAACGTGAGTTCTACGCATGCTCGACAATTGTTGCAAAATATAAACAAAGTATTTAGAATTTCTCCTCGAAAATTTGATACTTTTTACACTGAAACCGATTGAAAACAACTAATAATTCTTGGAGGAAATATGTGGGAAAGCTTCGGATTGATAGGAATACAACTACCTGAAAAATACAAGGAGAACTTCGACGTTTCAAGCGAAGGCGCTTCGACTTGTAGTCTTGTACTGTTAGTGTTTCCATACATCGTATTTGATCTTTTATACTGTTGGTATTCATGATAAATATATTAATCTTCTCAAGAATGAGAAAATGTTTGCTGTGAAGTGTGGACCTAACACTACGTACACCATAAATTCCGATAGGAAAGTAAAATTAAATTTAAAGCACATACATAGTATTTGAGAGCAACGTCAATAATCCAATGTCAAGGAAATTTAAACATTTAGTCCAATTTTAAATACATCAACAGCAGGGTCCACACTTCACAGCAAACATTCTCTCATTCTTGAGGAGATTATATTTGTCAGTAAAGGTCATGTACGATATATACAAACACTAACAGTACAAGTCGAAGCGCCTTCGTTCGAAAAGTCGAGGTCAGGCCTTAAAATATCTTTTACATGGCCGTCTGACAAAATGTCCGATGACTTTGAGTTTGGGTCGGATATATGTATGATGATGTCCGATGACCTTCAGTTCAGTTTGGCTCGGGAATAAGTCTGAATGACACAACTGAATTAGTATCAGCACAATGTAGTAATTCTGAAAGGCAAATGTTGTGGACCCGTTAATTTCCAAGCCAAAATTAACTTGCTTGCCAAGAACAGCAGTAAGAGTTCGAAAACTTAAGCCCATTTTATACTTTCACCATTTCGTTCGCCGTCCCATCCTCGATTACGTTAATTTTAAAACAACATTTCCAGTTCACTTTTTATGCACTACTCTGATTCTCCATTTAGCATGCGAGCCTCTAGTCCTGGACTAGGGTACATTTTGATTTACTGTACGATCGACAAATCTACAGTTCGGTCGGACACCAATACACTCGGGTCGGACAAACAATAAACCTCAGTTTCACTTAGGTCGGACAAAATGTCCGGTGGTTTCCTCTTTACGTCGGACAATTTCAATTTTGATTTACCTTACGCTCGACAAAGGTACAGTTCGGTCGGACACCAATACACTCGGGTCGGACAAACAATAAACCTCAGTTTCACTTAGGTCGGACAGAATGTCCGGTGGTTTCCTCTTTACGTCGGACAATTTCACGAATGGGTCGGACAATGTCCGCGACCAACCGATATTTTAAGGCCTGAGTCGAAGTTCTCCTTGTATTTTTCAGGTAGTTGTATTGCTATCAATCCGAAGCTTTCGTGCATATTTCCCCCCAAAATTTTTAGTTGTTTTCAATCGGTTTCAGTGTAAAAAGTATCAAATTTTCGATGAGAAATTCTAAATAATTTGTTTATAATTTGCAACAATTGCCGAGCATGTGTAGAACTCACGTTGGAAATCCACCGTACTATCTGCTGCTGGCCAATCGAACGGGCATGCTCGGGGAATGAGATTGTACTTATATGAAACACTGTGTAGGTCATATACACACACCTAGTTTATAATGTTTGAACTTGAATTTATACTAGTCGCATTCAAAGCCGGGCTACTTATTGCTTCTTCCTAGCCACACAGGGGCAAAACTACCATGAGTGTGTGTGTGGAGAAGGTGTCAAACACCTCCAGTCTCTATGTTGTCAGGTATGTCCATACAATTTCATTGGGAAAATTTTGAAAATATTTGAGTGTCTCGGATTGAAACAAAATAGTTGTACTGTAGGAAAATGCTATGTCCGCAAGCCAACAATTTTGGGAAAAGAAACTGTAATCAGGATTGAAATGACGACTTCAGTCACACCTTCTTGGTCGGGCAGAACAAGCTCCCCCCCCCCAGCCATAATACTGAAGTTTTGACCCCTACAGCCATGTTCGCCACTCCCCATAATTCAGCGTTTTTAGCAGGATTCTTAGCTGTTGAAAATGCAAAACGGAAAAAATCAATCGTAATCGAAGAGATTTGTTTGTAACAGGGTTCATTATTTTGTACATGTTCGGTGCCTTCGGCCCATGAACCGGAGGTTTTGAGTTACCGGAAGTTTGAATTATTATAAGGCTAATTGATTTTTGGATATTGGTGCACTACACTATTGCGTTATGTCAAATAATGAATTTTCGGCGCAGTTTCATTATGTGATATAATGAAAAAATTCTTTTACGTTATATCATATCATGAATCAACTGAAAAGTCATTATTTGATATCATAGTGTAACACATTAGCATTATATCAAATCAGGATTTACACAAATGCTAATGACATTATATAATGATTTTGTCAAAATTTTATATCATATAATATCATGACTTTTCGGAAATTCATGAGATGATATAATGCTAGCTTAATGTCAATAACAGTATATCAAATAACAACAAAAACGAATAAGTAATGATTTGATATAATGTCGGTTCGTTTATCCATTATTTACATATAATGACAGTTTTGGTCATGATATGATATAATTGTGCAATTGTCAGTTGTAACACCCACCCCTCAACCTCAGAGAAAGGTGGGGACATGTGGTGCGTTTTCCCTCTTTTGACTCTTAGTTATGCCTGACTAGGTGGGGGATTCTCTTCTTATGGATCCCCGACCTGGGTATGTGGGGCATTTATGTGGGAATGTATACAGCCCGCTGGAGGCTATTTATATGTGAGGCGGGACGGGACGTTTGCCGGGACGGGACGTTTGCTGGGACGGAACGATGAACGGGATCCCGGCTTGTATAAATTTCTATTATATTTATCACCAGATGTTTATTTGGAAGCGGGACGTTTTTCGTCCCGTCCCAGGCAAGCGGGATCCCGGTTTGTGCAACCGGGATCCCCCTCAACCGGGACGTTTTCTTCCATGTAAATACTTAATTGTTGCCGGGACGAGATGGAAGGTGGGATAATTTTGGTGTATTGAAATACATGACTAGGCTTAAACAAACGGTCAAACACCGGTTAAAAAAACTCAAATGTTGTCAGAGAAGATCTCGTAGTTCAAGAAGATTATTCTTGCTGCTTCAACAACCTTTCGTTTACAATTATACTCAGTAATCTATCACTAGAAAAATAATGTGATTTTGCTAAATCGTGCGCTGTGACTTATTTCAATACGTCAAAATCATCGCCGCCTCACATCTCGTCCAGTGTGGATTATAACGGTCGGCAATCGGCCATTTGCCGAACAAAAACAACAAATGGCCGATCAACTTTATTCTGGTCGGACATTTTGACCGATCAAATATATACAAAGATTCCATTACTAAAATTTCATCACTTGATAGTTGATTATTACAATTTAAGAAGGAAAAATTATACAAAGAAAACTGGTATTTTCTTTTACTGTTTTAGTTCTTTTATTGTTCGAGATGCTGCATTTCAATGACTTCAATATTTTGTTGTTGTTGTTGTAGTGATCGCCATTTTGAATATTTAATTATCAAACCCAGCCTCTTTCAGATGTTGCGCCATCCTTTCGCGCGTGTAGAAACACGTGCTTAAGCCTGAAACACGTGCAAATCATGCAAAGTTCAAAGTTTAACTTCAAATATAAAATAAAATATTGCAATGTTTATATGCTAAATACTAAAATAGCACTTTTAAAATATGAAATATTCATATGGCGTCCAAGCGATCAAGCGACGTTTCAGCTAGCGGTTCAGGCAATCAGGCTAAGAAACCTAAGAGAAAGGTGTCAGTAGCAACCTTTCTGAAGTGGCAAAAGCAGGAAGAGAAAGAACACAAAACGATTTCTTGGCTTCGTTGTGACAAACAACAAAGTCACGTCACAAGTCTTTGGTGCCAGGCATGCAGAAAATTCGAAAACAATATACGTGGGGTGAAGAACTTTTCGGCTGCATGGATCGTTGGGACCGCTAACCAGAAGTTATGTAATGTGATTGATCATGCGCGATGTGATCAGCACAAGCTATCGATGTCCTTGCTACGAACTGAGCAAGCTAAAGCCACGAATACTCCAATCACGTCATACGCTCCGATTGCACGAAGCATGTTATCTATGGAAAAACCGCTGCAGGAAGAGATGTGCAAAAAGTTTGACATTTGCTATGTCCTTGCTAAAGAAAACCTGGCATTCCGCAAGTACCCTGCAATTCACCAACTAGAGAGTCGTCATGGGGTTGATTTAGGGCAGTCATACACCACGAAAGATTCTGCCAAATCATTTTCTCATTACATAGCAGAAAGCCAACGCACTACTTTCATTAACACGCTGTCAACCATGCACTTTTACAGCTTTCTAATGGATGGCACAACTGATGCTGGTAACGTTGAAGACGAACTCATCGTCATCATGGGCTTTCAATAAGATGATACAGCCGGTGAAGTGGGAACTTTTGCTAGGTATTTTAGCCTTGAAGTGCCAGCGAAAGCCGACGCGGACGGGCTGATTGGATGCCTCCAGAAAGCAGTGGGTGCTATTGGTCCATCGGCACCTGGGGAAAACAGTGTATTAAGCAAGACCAGTGTGTTGGAGACCAAACCAATCCTTGTAGGTGGTGCCACCGATGGAGCTTCAGTTAACGTCGCGAGTCAAAATGGAATGAGAGGCAAAATGCAGCGAGAACTCCCGTGGCTTTTCTGGAGTTGGTGCTATGCTCATAGATTGGAGCTCGCCTGCAAAGATTCTTTCACAAGCAACCTTTTCAAGAGCGCATCCGAAATGCTGCTTCATTTGTACAGCCTTTACTCCAGGTCGCCCAAAAAACTCAGAGAGCTGACTGATCTTGTCAGCGACCTGAAGCAGGTGTTCGAGTTCCCGGAAAGTGGAGATACGCCGCTTCGTTCCGAAGGTAGCCGCTGGATTTCGCACAAACGACAAGCACTGCAGAGAATTATTGAACGCTATGGCGCATACATGTCTCACTTAATGACCTTGGTAGAAGATAGTTCAGTCAGCAGCGCAGAAAGGGTTTCTTGTGAAGTGGTAGCAAGGAAAAATGCTCATGGGGTGCGCTTTGTACGTGGATGTTCTAAAGGCGCCATCTATACTCAGCAAGGCACTGCAAGCAGAAAAGTTAGACATCGTGCTGGGACTTCAGAATATCGTGAAATCGAAGAAAGCATTGAAGAATCTAACCGATGCTGACCCACTCCAATGGCCGACTGTGAAGATTGTTCGTAACAGGATTAAGAATGGCAATGAATACCAAGGAGCCACTCTGAAGAGAGTTGATGAGGAAATACTCGAATCTTGCAAGAATCAGGCTTTGGCTGATGTACGTCGACTTGAAGAAAATATGCGAGAAAGGCTTGAATGGTCAAATATGAAGCTTCTGCGAGCAATCCTGGTTTTCTTGGACACCCAAACTTGGCGCTACATCATCCCAGCAAACCAGGAAAGCGAATCTCAGCAGTCTGATTCAGCGAACTCTCCTGAGGACAAGGCATTAAGTGAAGTTTTAGCTGCAGTAGAACTGATCGCAACAACGTTCAAAGAGCCACTGCAAGCTTCAGGCGTGAATCTTCTCGGTCTACAAGATGAAATGGAAGAGGTAGTCGAATACGCCCGACAATACTTGTCAATTGAGATAGAAAAGTACCACAAAGTATGGTACAATCTCCATATTTGTTCCGATAGCAGTAGTTGGAAAGATGTCCTTGTCCTTTGTGAATTGTGCTTCAGCCTTCCCTTTTCGAATGGCAGTGTGGAAAGAATGTTCTCCTCCCTGAAACTTATCAAGACTGACCGCAGAACGAGGCTTACTTGTGAGACGCTTAGTGACCTAATGGAGATATGTCGAAGGTCCCTCTCTTGAAAGATTTTCTGCAGACCAAGCAGTGAAAGCCTGGTGGGAAGATTGCAAGACTGCACAAAGACCCAATCAAAGTGCTCGGAGGCCGTACGCCTCCCGAAGACCTGGAACAGATGAAGAAGAATCGGAAAGTGAACTATCTCTGTCACTAAGTGACTGGGATACTTGGTTTGGCAACAGTGATGAGTCAGACGAATGAATTCCAACGATATAATCGAATTTTAAATTTCTTAAAAGTAGAACCTGTTGTGTTTATGCACAGTACTTTACACAAAGACGTTTATATTCCAGCCGTTATGTTCTATCTCCTATAGAACGAGTTAAGAGTTACAAAGAGTTAAGATTGGCCATTTCACTTATGCATACAGTTAGGCCTCTTTTACTGTACACCAGCAAATTTTCTTTGCTAAGGTTAGCTGTCAAGCTGTGACAAGTTTTATTTGCCTGTGTGTATGGAGAAATGTTGCAAGTACGTTTTTCTTCGACAAGTTTATTTGTTGCCACACTTCTCCATCACACACCGGCAAATAAAACTTGTTAAAGTAAAACTTGGCAAAGAAAATTTGCCCGTATAGACAATCTAGGCTTTAAGGCCTATACCGTCACCGATAGGCGAGGAACTCTGCTCCTGATTTAAATTTTCTACAATTTTTTTGTAGCGAAATGTTCTAATATAACAAATTAACAGTTTTATTAAGATTTAAAACTCGCGCCAGAGCTGCGTCCTCGAATCGAGTGCGGTGTATCTGTGTGTGGCAGCGTACACTTGTTGTAACTTTGCAGGTTTCTATATAGGACATTTCCATGTAAATAGAGATGTATGACGTTTGTGATTTCATATTTTGTATTAACTTTCATCGATATAAATGTTTCTAAAGTTATCTCATGCAGTATCGTGTAAAAAAATATTAAGAAAGTTGTCCGACCATTCTTGGCAAATGTCCGACCAACTGACCAGTTGATCGGACATTTGTCCGACCAAAGCGAAATCGTTATAATCCACACTGATCTCGTCCCGGCAAAGCGGGATCATGTAAGCAGCTCCCAACCGGGATGTATAAATCGTCCCGGCAAAACGTCCCGTTCCGCCTCTCATATAAACAGCCCCTAAGATTGTACTGTTGAGCCTGAGCCTGATCTTTTTAAATTAATTAAAGTCAATTTTAGTTGTGCCACAGGTCATTTTTTGTTTGTACATAAAAGTTCTATATTCTGTTTCTTTTACTCTATAGTGACAAAATAGATTATTACATGTTCAGTAGCCAATCTATTTTCTCACAGAATAGCAATATTATTTGCAATAATTTGCATATTTTTCATGTACATCACTGATATTACTTTTATTTTGAAAATAAAAATCTTTGTTCAATAAAACATTTCAAATTTTTCCCCCTGGCCATGGGTTGGGGGATTTGACAAGATTAGTCAGGTCAGCCTGCCTCAGGGGGTGGGACAATAGATAACTATAGATATATTAAAAATCTATGTGCCCACATTTCCCCGAGGTTGGGGGGTGGGTGTTACAATTGACAGGTGCATAAACGTTAAGTAATTTTTGAACACATGGCGTTCCATACTTGCGCTCTTCGTTGAGAGTAATGTCTAGCTGTTCACAGGCTAGGGAAAGGAAGTCGTTCTCACTTACTATTGCCTCAATACGCGTTTCTAGAGAGGGGATTTTTTAATAAAAATATATTTTGCAAATAGCAATGTTCAATATTGAGGCAAGTTAATACAACGGAATTGGGACAGCATGGCTACAAACTGAACTTTAATAGTTTAACTTGATGATATAATACAACTTACCATGAACAGATACAAACACGAGCTGTATAGACTTTCCAATCGCCTTTTGGGCCTTCTTTTCCCTTGGCAGTTATATCATCCCCTTCTTAATATAATCGGATTTGCATTTGTAAGGGGCGACATCCATACTCACATTGCCACGCAAAACGTCATTTTGACGTTTTCGTTTTGACCCACCCACCCAGTGCTGAAAACGTCAAGTGTATATTGTTATTAAAAATAAAGGGAGACCTCAAAGGTGTTACCAGTGAGTAATAATGCTTCAAATCAATGCCTATGTAGTTTTAAATCGATATAAATTATTAAATATTTTTCGTATTTTCGCGAAAACTGACAACGTGTTTTAAAGCCTTTGGTACAGTGATATACACAAATACTTCAAGTTAACTTCTACATATACATCCAAAATCATCTCTGCACATGTGTTCAATATTTTCTGATTTAAAAAAATTCAAACTGCCACGCAAAACGTCAAATTGACTCTCGAAAACCCACCCACCCACTCAAAACGTCAAAATGACGTTTTGCGTGGCAGTTTGAGTATGGATGTCGCCCCTAAGTAGTTGGCATCTCGAACACAACTGTCTTCCAAAACAACTCGTTTCGTTTGTTGCTATCCAGTATACAACTGCGTATTTCATCTTGTTAATAAAATGCTTTCTTCCAAAATTAATAAACCACAAGGAAATATCTGGCCAATATATAGTTTTTAACGAGCTTCGAAGCCAAATATATGCTGCTCTTTTGCTGAGGTGATATGAAACACAAGTACACAACACGCGTGTGTATAAATATTGCGAAATACCTTCCGGGGGGGAGGGTGATGGAGAGGGGGGGGCAGGGCGCTTCCGATATTGAGGAACGTAAACAAAACTGCCGTATTTTATTATATTGTTATATTTTAAAAGCAAACAAAAATCAAATTTGGCAAGTAGTTTGAAGCATATATGATTCTCAAAGTTGATCGGGTAAAGTGCGCAAGTGGCTGCATGCAATATAAGACTGTTCCCATACCTCCTTAGGTAAGGGGTCGACCATTTAACTTTTTTTTTGGGGGGGGGGTTGATTTTGAAAAAAATTCCTGCAAGACTATTCTGAACGACAAAAAATACCTGCATTAACAAACTGGGGGGGGGGGAATATCTTGCCTCAGTATTTGGTGGGGAAAAAATGTTGCAAAACAGCATGGTTGCAGGAATCGATTTGACCAGTCCCAGAAGATCAGCTGGTTTGATTTTCAGGGACTAGTGCAAGGTTAATTTCTTATTGGAAACTCCTCAAAATGCTGGAAATTGCTTATCCGAGCTTCAAGAAATCCAAAATTTTCTGGTGGGCATGTCCGCCAGACCCCATGCCCCCAGAGGCTCGCACCTTCGATTGTCTCAGAATACTAGTTATAGCCTGATTTGCTGCTCTATGACGTATACTTATTGGTTAAACCATGCATATATATGCTGGTAGCTGTAGTGATACAGGCCGATACAGACTTGCCGACTGGAACTTTTCCAGGTCCCCGCTAAATATGCGGTTGAGGCCCTGAACCAAATGTTATACCAATACCTCGTAGCAATATGTATCATTAAAAACAATGTATGAAGCTAAAAACCTCAACGTTGACTATCATTAA